CTTTAAGTAACTTTGAACTGTCAGTCTTCAGTTGTACAAGCCCACTGCAAAATGCCTGTGCCACCAGGTTCCTGTCCTTAACAAATTCTAAATGAATCCTATTTCTCATTGTAAACTGGGAAAATCTAAAGTACCTAGAACCACTGGGATTAAATAAAAGATGCATAAAAGTACTTATATTAGACCTTGTACATAATAAGCAATCAATAAATAATGGCTCTAGTTGAGTAATCTGCAGAACAAACTGCTTCTAACCCAAAGGACATGCCTCTATAGTGGTTTCCTCTGCAGGAAAATATGAGCAATCTCCTCCTATGCAATATAGAGCCTTATAAACCTAATGGAGAATCAAGCTATGAGTCCATTCTGATTTTATGGCAATGACTAAGGAGGGAGTACTATTTTTTTTTCTTTAAAAAAAAAAAAAAAGACACAAAGGGGCCAGGCTATTCTTCTCTATATTGTTCCAATTTTAGTATATGTGATGATGAAGAGAGCACAAAAGGAGTACTCTTTAATATTGAGAAATGTTTTCAATCTGTTATGCGTAAGGCTGTCATGAGTGGAACACCTAACAACTGGCAACTATTGATGGCAACAAACAATAACAATTATTCTTAAAAAGGACAGCACAAATCTTAGAGAACAATCATGTAATTTTAAATTGTTATTATAAATAATACAGGCATTTCATAGCCTATCTCAACATATAAATAATCAAAACTAAGAAAAAAAAGATATTTATCCTGTAAAGTTATGTTAAAAAAAATTACCATTGTCATTCTGAAAGCTTGCCTGATTTCTAAACAAGCAGAGACTTTTCAGCTCATCGTATGACCCAACGAGCTGGGCATTCTTTTGTAGTTACTCATATGCTGGAAGAAAATACTAAAAATCATGTGAATATATTGAGAAGTCAGAAAAAGTTTCTAGACATTTTTAAAGTTCAGCATATTAAGACATTTCAGGCTTTAAAGAATGTTCAACTAAAATGTATATAATATAGGAATTTCCTCTAAGTTTTCTGAGATTGGTACAAATGTGTTACTATTTTGCTAAATTATTATTATGTCAAATGGTCTATAAGCCACTAGTCAAAACTGAATTCAGACTAGAAAATTATTTCTAAATTTTGTGAAGTTGACAACCACAATTTACCAACTGTTATTAAAAGAAGTCTATTTCTAAGATCTACAGGATATTTTTGAAAAAATAACAAATGCAGAAGGACATTATGGTATTATTACTTCTTTCATAAGAATGGAGTGAGAAATATATTTATAATTGCGTAAAGAAACAATGAAAAGATAACAAAACAAATAAATAAAAGTGGTTACCTAAAGGGGATGGAAGTGGGAATGCACCTTTAAAGATTACTTTCATTTTCAAGCCAAGTGACTATATCACTTATTTTTAAAGTAAAAAAAAATAACATTTTACATAAACATGTGTACTTCTTTAGGTAAACAAAAATATACACGCGTACACACTTATGGTTTGAAAAACAGGACAACAAGGCTTTGGCTTTCTAAAGAGAAAAAATACAGGAGCTTTTTTTTTCAAAATATCACTAGAATCATATTTCTGGGTCACAGTTCTGAATGAATAAAATTTTACAAAAATTACTTTTCGGTTTCCATAAAGCTTGAGGCTATTTTCTAAACTACAGTTCTAAAGTCAGTAACTCTTTAGAAAAGGGAAAAAAGTGGGTATTTTTGGTTTGATTTTTTTAAGAGGTTTTTTTAAAAACAATTTTCTCAGGAAGCAAAATATTTTAAAAAAGAAGTTTTTAAGTTTTACTTGTATACTAAGTAATTCAGTGATATACCACTGATTAAAAATCATTTTGATTTAGGGGAGGAAAACCCCATGGAAAGTAATATGCTTTTCCTACAGTTTTTTACACTATTTCTAAAACTGCCCTCTCAAGTAATCTCTGTACTTTGATAAAAATTTCAATTTACAACAAACACCATCAATATTTTTTTGAATTGTCAAGACTATTCACTAGTATATAAACAGATAAAAATCCACTAATAGTGGAAACTATTGAACATTGTCAATAATAGCCTATGTAAGCAAATTACTAAAGATTATTCAAAAAACAGTCAGAACAGTACATCAAGAGAGAATTATCAGACATTCAGGCTAGATTTAGGAGAAGGTGCAGCACAAGGGGCATCACTGTTGATGTCAGACAAATCTTAGCTGAAAACAGAGAATACCAGAAGGATGTCTATTTGTGTTTTATAAGCTATGCAAAGGCATCTGACTTTGTCTCATAACAAATTATGTCTAACATTGAGAGTGGAAATCCCCTTACAGTACTCTTGCAAAATCTATACCTACACCAAGATAACCTTGTCCAAACAGAGTAAGGAAATCCTGCAAGGTAAAAAATAAAAACAAATGTTCATCAGGTATCTATCCTTTCTCCATATCTACTCATTCTGTATGATGAACAAATCAAAAGAGAAGCTAAACTTTATGAAGAAGACTGTGACATCATGTTATCATGCTTGGAGGAAGCCTAATCAACAACCTGCATCAAACAGATGATACTTGCTGAAACCTGAGGTGCTTGCTCTGAGTTAATAAACTATTAACATGTGAATAAACAACAGAATAGGGAAGAAGAGTTACTAAGAAATATGTCTGGTATGCTAATGTAGAGAAAAACAAATTGATCTCCACATTTTCATTATTCATTAATGCAGAATTTTAGATAGAATACAAATTTGCTTTTTAACTAAAAGAAAAATTCTAATAATTCAAGCAACTTACCAAATTATGGTGAAGAATTCAAAGTGAAGAATACTAAAGATAAAAAGAAAACCAGTAGAATGAAGAGGGGGGAATTTTACAAATGGTATGTTAGATAAAATTTTCTTACCTCTCAAATATACAGGGATGGATCTATGTTGATATCTAGTCCTCAACAGACAAACTGTCAGAAAACAGGACTTTATATTTTTAAACTTGGAAGTTAGATTGGACTCTTGGAGTGAATTTCATGTGTGTTTACTGTCTAACAGAGTAGCTGTAACTGTTTACAGGAATGACATGAGCTGATCCTAGAATCTGTCTTTCTGATACAAAGCACAAGTAGATATAGAGGACTAAGAGGCTCATGTGTACCCTTCAAGTGTGGGTATAATGAGAACTTTCTTCAAATAAACTCCAAAGGGAAAAAAACAAAACAAAACAAACAAACAAAAACAACAAAAATCAAAACAACAACCAAACAGGACCTTAACCATAAGAAAGGAGAGTTGTACCCATTTAATGGTGTGCCAGGCACTGTTTTAAATAAAGACATTAATAACCTTGTACAATAATAACCTCTATGAAGTGGACGTTGTTGCTGTTGTGTACCATCAAGTTGGAATCAACCCACAGCTGACCCTTCAGCAGGTTTTCAGAGGCAGTCAACCACAGAGGAGGCTGCCCATCCTTCTCCTATGGTTCTCCCACAGAGCTGCTGGTGGACTTCATGTGCCTTCCAGATTGCAGCATAGCTTCTTGCCACCAAACCACTCACTGGAGCACACTATGAATACTGTTTTTATTCTTAGGTAATAAACTAAGTAGAAAACTAAGGACCTAGAAAGGTATTCTCCACTGATACAGCTAAGCAGTTACAGAGAACTTATACCCAAGAAGTCTCATTCCAGAATACATGCTCTCAGTCACTAATCTGTACTCTTTCTTCCCATATACAACAAAACTCAGATCTTTCATTTTACAAATCTAAATTTATGAGACACAAATAACTATCGTACAAGAAAGAACATGAGTAAGAATGGTTCTGAGATTCAACGGATGATGGTATTATTTTCTCTGATTAACTGTTTGTAGAAGAATGATATCTCAATTGAATCTGGAAGAATATGAAATACTGAAGAAAGGGAAAGAAAAACATTACACACATTTTATTTAAATGATCAAAGACAGTCATTTAAATAGGAATGTACCAGCAACACAAATACTTGAAAAGAATTTTATGTAAAAGAGAAGTAAATAAAAAAATAAAGCCACTCCTCTTCTATGAACCTTCACAGGTTCTAAAGGCCATGGTGTTATATGGGGGGAAAAAAATATTAAAAAATCAGCATTATGTGAAAATGGAAGAAGTCCCTCATTTGTACTACGAACATCCCACCAGACTCCCGCTGAGATCACCTGTCACTGTCCCTGCCCTGATATCACCTCAGGTGACCCTTGTTCCTTTGCTTTTCTTTGCTCTTCTGGCCTCACCATATTTTCAGGAGGGATGACCCTACCTCATGCCCTTAATGACTTCACATGTCCTTGGTGGCTTTGTCAGGGGCAGACTGTTCCCTATTCACAGACGAGAAGGTCTGGGTAGTGAAGGTGGGATACACATTTCCCACTGGATCCCACCTTTACCTCTTACCCAAGCATCTCCCAGCTCTCAATGGACAGTACTTTCAACGGATAGTACCCATTGCCATTGAGTTGGAACTGGCTCATGACTGAATCTTCAGTGGGATTTCTGAGGCTAAATACTACCCAGAAGGAAACTGCCCATCTTTGTCCCATGGAGAGACCAGTGGATTCGAACCACTAGAGAAGCACTGTCACTGGATGAACAGCAGAACTCTTTACAAACTGCACCCCCAGAGCTCCCCGTCTCTCTGAATTATCACTGATAAATTAGGTAGAATACTGACAATGTGTTTACAAGAAAAATGTTTTTTAAAAATCCCATCGAACTTGGTGACTAAGAAATTACTTATAACTCTGAGGAGGAGAAAAGTCAGTTATCAGAAAGTCAAGTGGACAGGAATGAACAATCAAAAATCAACATTTTACCATTCATGTTACACTAACTGGTTATAAGGAATAACCTAAATGGCATTATATTTCAAATCATTCTCTTTTTAGACTAAATTTCAAATATAAGATGCTTTACTTTCTTCCTTGTTTACGGTTATAAAAAGGGAAGGCTGAATAAGAATTCCTTAAAACACACTTACCCAGTGCGAGACTGACCAACTTTATCACAAATATCCAAGATGAGGCCCCAGTCCTCAGCAGTATTCATCTCACTGGTTGCCTTCTCTAAAAATTGCAAAAAAAAAATCATAAAAAACATTATGCAATAAATCTTTTAAAAGTTCGTAATCATACTCAGATTAATAAACTGTACTAAATTCAAATATTAATAATCAATCAGAATGTTGCTTGCTAGCTCCCATACGCTAGCTCCATGCACAAACAAAATGCTGCCTGACCCTGTGTGATCTCCCTGGAAAAACATGGCTGAAATTGTTATGATCCATACCACTTTCACTGGCTGATTTTCTAATGTAGATCTCAAAGGTCTTTCTTTCTAATCTCTCTGAGTCTTAAAAATTTTGCTAAAACCTGTTCTGCATCATAGCAATGAGCAAGCTTCCATTAACAGATGAAGGTTAGCTTTACATCCATGAGGGGAGCTGGCCAGGGATGAATCCAGGTTTCCTACATGGAAGGTAAAAAATCTACCACTGAAAGAATTGCACAGTCTGATTACAAATGACCAATGCCAATTATGAGAAGGAAGCAAAAATTTTAAGTTGGTTTGATTAGACACTGTAACCACTTGAACCAATTTTAATTAATGCTGTTAAATAAAATGTCTATGAATGAGTGGATGAAATACAATAGTAAATTTATACTCACATTAAAAATAACAAAAGGGAGATGCCCTTCTTCTCTAACAATTCCTTTCTCAAAAATACTGTAGGTGGTTTTTGCTTATAACAAATTAAGTCTGATTTTTCTACATTTACAAAAACATGAACATACAGGTATGTACATGAAGGAGAGGTCTGGTGGCACACAGTCTACCGGGATTTATGCTGATAACCCAAAAGTCACACCTCTCTGGAGGCTCAAATTCACCAGCAGCACTACAGGAGAAAATCTCTTCCCATGCGATATACAGACTCAGAAATTCACTACAGGGTTAGTTTCAATTTTATGGCAATGAATAAGACACCCTC